CTAGTACTAGTCACCCAGAGTGTAGCTCCTCCTGGCTAGTACTAGTCACCCAGAGTGCAGCTCCTGGCTAGTACTAGTCACCCAGAGTGCAGCTCCTGGCTAGTACTAGTCACCCAGAGTGTAGCTCCTGGCTAGTACTAGTCACCCAGAGTGCAGCTCCTGGCTAGTACTAGTCACCCAGAGTGCAGCTCCTCCTGGCTAGTACTAGTCACCCAGAGTGTAGCTCCTCCTGGCTAGTACTAGTCACCCAGAGTGTAGCTCCTCCTGGCTAGTACTAGTCACCCAGAGTGCAGCTCCTCCTGGCTAGTACTAGTCACCCAGAGTGCAGCTCCTCCTGGCTAGTACTAGTCACCCAGAGTGTAGCTCCTGGCTAGTACTAGTCACCCAGAGTGCAGCTCCTGGCTAGTACTAGTCACCCAGAGTGCAGCTCCTCCTGGCTAGTACTAGTCACCCGGAGTGCAGCTCCTCCTGGCTAGTACTAGTCACCCAGAGTGCAGCTCCTGGCTAGTACTAGTCACCCGGAGTGTAGCTCCTCCTGGCTAGTACTAGTCACCCAGAGTGTAGCTCCTCCTGGCTAGTACTAGTCACCCAGAGTGCAGCTCCTGGCTAGTACTAGTCACCCGGAGTGTAGCTCCTCCTGGCTAGTACTAGTCACCCAGAGTGCAGCTCCTGGCTAGTACTAGTCACCCGGAGTGTAGCTCCTCCTGGCTAGTACTAGTCACCCGGAGTGTAGCTCCTCCTGGCTAGTACTAGTCACCCGGAGTGTAGCTCCTCCTGGCTAGTACTAGTCACCCGGAGTGTAGCTCCTGGCTAGTACTAGTCACCCGGAGTGTAGCTCCTCCTGGCTAGTACTAGTCACCCAGAGTGTAGCTCCTGGCTAGTACTAGTCACCCGGAGTGTAGCTCCACCTGGCTAGTACTAGTCACCCGGAGTGCAGCTCCTGGCTAGTACTAGCCACCCAGAGTGTAGCTCCTCCTGGCTAGTACTAGTCACCCGGAGTGTAGCTCCTGGCTAGTACTAGTCACCCAGACTGTAGCTCCTCCTGGCTAGTACTAGTCACCCGGAGTGTAGCTCCTCCTGGCTAGTACTAGTCACCCAGAGTGTTGCTCCTCCTGGCTAGTACTAGTCACCCAGAGTGTAGCTCCTCCTGGCTAGTACTTGTCACCCAGAGTGTAGCTCCTCCTGGCTAGTACTAGTCACCCAGAGTGTAGCTCCTCCTGGCTAGTACTAGTCACCCAGAGTGTAACTCCTCCTGGCTAGTACTAGTCACCCGGAGTGTAGCTCCTCCTGGCTAGTACTAGTCACCCGGAGTGCAGCTCCTGGCTAGTACTAGCCACCCAGAGTGTAGCTCCTCCTGGCTAGTACTAGTCACCCGGAGTGTAGCTCCTGGCTAGTACTAGTCACCCAGACTGTAGCTCCTCCTGGCTAGTACTAGTCACCCAGAGTGTAGCTCCTCCTGGCTAGTACTAGTCACCCAGAGTGTAGCTCCTCCTGGCTAGTACTAGTCACCCGGAGTGTAGCTCCTCCTGGCTAGTACTAGTCACCCAGAGTGTTGCTCCTCCTGGCTAGTACTAGTCACCCAGAGTGTAGCTCCTCCTGGCTAGTACTTGTCACCCAGAGTGTAGCTCCTCCTGGCTAGTACTAGTCACCCAGAGTGTAGCTCCTCCTGGCTAGTACTAGTCACCCAGAGTGTAACTCCTCCTGGCTAGTACTAGTCACCCGGAGTGTAGCTCCTCCTGGCTAGTACTAGTCACCAGGAGTGCAGCTCCTGGCTAGTACTAGTCACCCAGAGTGCAGCTCCTCCTGGCTAGTACTAGTCACCCAGAGTGTAGCTCCTCCTGGCTAGTACTAGTCACCCGGAGTGTAGCTCCTGGCTAGTACTAGTCACCCGGAGTGTAGCTCCTCCTGGCTAGTACTAGTCACCCAGAGTGTAGCTCCTCCTGGCTAGTACTAGTCACCCGGAGTGTAGCTCCTGGCTAGTACTAGTCACCCAGAGTGCAGCTCCTCCTGGCTAGTACTAGTCACCCGGAGTGCAGCTCCTCCTGGCTAGTACTAGTCACCCAGAGTGCAGCTCCTCCTGGCTAGTACTAGTCACCCAGAGTGTAGCTCCTCCTGGCTAGTACTAGTCACCCAGAGTGTAGCTCCTCCTGGCTAGTACTAGTCACCCAGAGTGTAGCTCCTCCTGGCTAGTACTAGTCACCCGGAGTGTAGCTCCTCCTGGCTAGTACTAGTCACCCGGAGTGTAGCTCCTGGCTAGTACTAGTCACCCAGAGTGTAGCTCCTCCTGGCTAGTACTAGTCACCCGGAGTGTAGCTCCTCCTGGCTAGTACTAGTCACCCAGAGTGCAGCTCCTCCTGGCTAGTACTAGTCACCCGGAGTGTAGCTCCTCCTGGCTAGTACTAGTCACCCAGAGTGCAGCTCCTCCTGGCTAGTACTAGTCACCCGGAGTGTAGCTCCTGGCTAGTACTAGTCACCCGGAGTGTAGCTCCTGGCTAGTACT